ATCCTTAAAGGCCAAACATGCGTCTTGCACTCTTGCCAGCACTGGGGCCTGCTTTGTGGATGAGAAGGAAAGCCCCACACAAACTTAAAAGGCCACCTGGAGAGTTGATTGTGATTTTTAAGAGCTAATGCTGCCACCCGCAACTCACTGCTGATGGACGGCCCTGGCCCTCTATGGCTAATCTAAACTGTGTGTAAGACACTGTATATTCATGGGCCATCCGAAGCAGTGGGTGGGCGAGAGACAGTCAGCACTAATCAAGGTGCTGGGAGTCGACAGGGCCCCACGGCTGCAGGATAAGAGGAAAGCTGAGACCAAACAAAGCCAGGCAGGCAGCTGCTACAGCGCGGCAGCTGTGTGGGGGCCCATTGAAGGTGACAGATCCCCTTAAGTTATGCGTACAGGAGGCATGCCTTGTAAATCAACAACAGACCCTCTTCAGGAAGACTCCTGCAAACCGTGGATCCACACACCGTGGCCTGGATAAAGGAAAAGCAGATAAAAGGGGTCTGGCTGTCCAGAAGATGGCACCTCCCGCAAGCCTGTGAGGGTTGGGTGTGGGGCAGGACCTCCAGGGATCCGACCCCCGTACCCTCCAGAGCCCCGGGATACCCTACCTGGGCTCACTGCTTCTTCTTGGGTCTCCAAGGAGCGTAGCAGCCCCAGCCACACTGTCCCTGCCGCTGGGAGGGAAACGGGGTGGTTTCCTCGGGCCGAGACAGCGCCAGATGGACTCACGTGGCTGGAAGCAGAGGTGGGCTCATTATAAAATGGGGCACAGGGCAAGCCTCCTTCCATCCTTCTTCTTATGAAAGTCTCTGCTCCCACACTAAGACCCTGCCTAGAGATAGTCTTGCTTAACTGGCCTCCTTCCCTTCCCCTCCTCTGCCTCCCTCCCCCCCTTATCTCCCGCCCCTCTTCCTCCCGTCCCCCCACCCCCTCCCTCTCCTTGCCCCCCTTCCCCACCTTTCCCCCACGTCCCTCTTCCCCTCCTCATCCCTTTTCCTCCCATCTCCCCTCCTAATCTTCCTTTTGTTTTTCTTCTCTGTTCTTCCCTGGTTTCGATTTTGAGTCAGGGTCTGTGTGTGGGGGCCACAGTGGCTCACACTCCGGCTCCTCCTACCCTTACCCTCTAGAGTGCTGGGGTTTAAGGCTTGTGCCACCAAGTCCTGCAGGAGGCTGAATTTCTAGAAATCACCATTGCCTCAGGTTCACAGTAAAGCCGAGGGCAGAAACTACATTTCTTGATGGCCACCCTGATGCCTAAGCTGACCGTGACCCCGGGTTAAGTGCCAGCTGTGGAGGTGCACTCTGAAATCTCCCCTCTCTGAAATGACAATAAAACAAAACTTCACAAGTTCAGAGCTTAAAACAATGATGCTTAGAGGGGGACGCAGGTGGCAGAAGAATCGCAAGCCATTGTTACCTTTTTAGAGCTTTATTAGGAGGAAGGAGAGAGACAGACAGACAGAGGCAGAGACAGAGAGACAGAAAGAGAGAGACCGCACGGAGGACAGAGAGAATACGGAGTGGGAGGGCACGTCCATTTTTTAGGCTGGGATGCTGTCACAGGCTGATGATGGAATAAGGACAGAATCCTTACACTGGGTTTGGTTCCAAGCGGCCACATGTTGATACACAAGCACCTGTAAATCTTGTTCCAGGGACCGAATTCCCTCTTCTGCTACATGTGGTGACTATATGTGCAGAACACCCATGCACATAAGTAGAGAAGGGGGCGTCATTTTCTAAGGTCTTGTGACCAGGAAATGGGGAAGCTGGAATTGAAATAAATCCCTTGTCCTGTCTTCTGGGGAGTGCTATTGGATTTGGTCCTGCTGGTAATTGTAAGTGCCAGTCAGGGGTCCACCCTGACATCGGCAGGGTGGGAGGCAGGCTGG